AAATTGGAAGTTGTAAAAAAATGAAATGGAATGCATAAAGATCAATATCCTAGGCATTAGTGACCTAAAATGGACTAGTATTGGCCATTTTGAATCAGACAATCAAATGGTTTACTATGCCAGGAGTGACAAATTAAAGATGAATGGAGTCACATTCATCCTCAGAAGGAACATTTCAAGATATGTCCTGAAGTACAATGCTGGCATTTATAGGATAATATGCATACACCTATAAAGAACACCAGTTAGTACTGCTGTTATTCAAATTTATGCACCAACCATCAAAGCAAAAAATGAAGAAATTGAAGATTTTTACCAATTTCTGCAGTCTGAAATTGACCAAACATGCAATCAACATGTATTGAATATTGCTTGTGATTGAAATAGGAAAGTTGGAAACAAGAATCATCAGTAGTTGGAAAATATGGACTTGGTGATAGAAATTATACTGGAGATCATATGATAGAATTTTGCAAGACCAACAAATTATTCATTGAAAATACCTTTTTACAACAACATAAACAGCAACTATATAAATGGACCTTGCTGGGTGGAATATACAAAAATAATCAAACTGACTACATCAATAGAAAGAGGCAGAAACGTTCAGTATCATCAGTCAAATAACACCAGGAGCTGACTGTGGAATAGACAATCAATTGTTCATATGCAAGTTCAATTTGAAGCTGAAGACAATAAAAACAAGTCTACAAGAGACAAAATATGACCTTGATTATATCCTACCTGAATCTAGAGACCATCTGAAGAATAGACCTGATGCACTGAATGCCAATGACTGAAGAGCAGATGAATTGTGGGATGACATCAAGAACATCATACATGAAGAAAGCAAAAGGTCATTAAAAAGACAAGAAAGGAAGAAAAGACAAAAATGGATGTCAAAGGGACTCTAAAAGTTGTTATTGAGTGGAGAGTAGCTAAAGCAAGCAAATTGAAATAAAAGAGCTGAGAAGAAGATTTCAGTGGGCAGCTTAAGAAGACCAGTTAGAGTATTACAATGAAATGTGCAAAGACCTGGAATTAGAAAAACAAAAGGGAAGAACACACTTAGGATTTTGAAGCTGAAAGAACTGAGGGAAAAAAAGAATCAAGCCTCAAATTGCAATATTGAAGGATTCTATGGGCAAAATATTTAATGATGCAGGAAGTATCAGAAGAAGATGGGAGTCACTGTACTAAAAAGAATTGGCCATGGTCCAGTCATTGAGGGAAGAACAATGGTATTTAAGGATGAAGTCCAACATTCACTGAAAGAATTAACGAAAAACACAAAGCTCCAAGAATTGAGAGAATACCATTGAAATGTTTCAACAAACAGAAGCAGCTCTTGAGATGCTTACTTGTCTATTCCTGCAGATTTGGAAGACAGCTACCCAGCTAGCTGATTGGAAGAGATTTGTACTCATTCCAAAGAAAGGTGATAGAACAGAATGTGGAAACTATCAAACATATCATTAATATCACATGCAAGTAAAATTTTACTGAAAATAATTTAAAAATGGTTGCAGCAATATATTGACAGGGAACTTCCAGAAATGCAAGCTCAATTCAGAAGAGGACATGGAATGAGGGATATCATTGCTGATGTCAGTTCAATCTTAGATAAAATCAAAGAATACCAGAAAGATGTTTACCTGTGTTTTATTGACTATGCAAAGGCATTTAAGTGTGTGTATAGTAACAAATTATGGATAATACTGTGAAGAATGGGAATTCCAGAACACTTAATTGTGTTCATGAGGACATGTACATAAACCAAGACACTGTCATTCAAACAGAACAAGGGAATACTGCATGGTTTAAAATCAGAAAGGGTGTGTGTCAGGGTTGTTTCCTTTCACCATACTTATTCACTCTGTATGCTGAGCAAATAATCTGAGAAGCTGGACTATATGAAGAAGATCACAGCATCAGGATTGGAAGAAGATTCATTAAGCTCCTGTGATATGTAGATGACACAGCTTAGCTTACTGAAGGTGAAGATGACTTGAAGCACTTACTGATGAAGATCAAAGACTACTGTCTTCAGAATTGATTATTACAGCTCAACATAAAGAAAACAAAAATCCTCATAATTGGACCAATAAGTAACATCACAATAGATAAAGATTGAAGTTGTCATGGATTTCATTTTACTTGGATCCACAATTCTGGTTGTGTGTCAACTTAGCTGGGCTGAGTTTTGAGTGGCTGGGCAACTGGATGTAGTTATTCCCCATGATGAGATTGGTAATCAACTCCATGGTGGAATCTACTATGAACAGCTGAGTAGTTGCTTTAGAGATAAGGTCTGCTTCTAATATATAAGAAGTTTTGAGAAAGGTCTTGAGCTTTTTGGTATGCTTGGACCATGCATGTAGCCAAGTCTTTATTCAATGGTCTTTATTCAATAGTCCCAATCTTGGGACTATTTCTGGACTTGAGTTAGTGGCCTACCATATTGCTTAATAATCTTAGGACTGTGCCATTTTACTTTTTGATCTTGGGTTTGTCGGCATCAGCAGCCAACAGCTGCCTGAGTTAAGGGAAAACTCCAGCTTCAGTGTGCCTGGAGCAAGAGACAGAACAAAAGCCCAAAATTGAGGGACCTTCACCCAGCCCCCAGAGCTGGCACTATAGACTTCAGACTTCCACCCTCCTAAACTGTGGAAGAATAAATCCCTGTTTGTTAAAGCCATCCATTTGTGGTATGTGTGTTATAGCAGCACTAGAGAACCAAAACAACAATCAACATTTATGGAAGCAGTAGTCACGAAATCAGACATTGTATTGCCCTGGGCAAATCTGGTGCAAAAGATCTCTTTAAAGAGTTGAAGAGCAAAGATGTCACTTTGAACACTAAGGTGCACCTAACCCAAGCCATGGTATTTTCAGTTACTTCATATGTATGTGAAAGCTGGACAATGAATAAGGAAGACTGAAGAATTGGTGCCTTTGAATTGTGGTGTTGGTAAAGAATACTGAAAATACCCTGAACTGCCAGAACAAACAAATCTATCCTGGAATAAGTGCAACCAGAATGCTCCTTAGAAGAGAGAATGCTCAGACTTCATCTCACCTACTTTGGTCATGTGATCAGAAGGGATCATTCCCTGGTGAAGCATATCACGCTTGGTAAAGTGGAGGGTCAGTGAAAAGGGGGAAAACCCCTTTCTTGATTGACACATTGTCTGCCATGATGGGTTTAAGCCTAGCAAGCACTGTGAGGATGGTGCAGGACAGGCCAATGTTTGGTTCTATTGTACATGGAATGACTATGAGGTGGAATCAACTTAACAGCAACTTACAAGAAGGACAACAACAACACACACAGAAAGACACAAATTTTCACTTAAAACACAATGTTGAAATATTCTTGTATTATTAAATAGCCTTCTACAGTACCAGTTTTAATGGGTGTCTAGGAATCAGCATTCATTGTTGAACATTATACCAGAGCCAATTATTTAGATATTAAAAATTAACCCTGCTGTGAAAAATACGCTTGTGTGTATATATTATGGAGTTCCTAGGTGGTGCAAACAGTCAGCCTGCCTGGTTGCTAACCCCCAGGTTAGAGGTTTGAGTCCTCCCAGAGGCACCTCAGAGAAAGACCTGGTAAACAGAAAAATCAGCCATTGAAAACCTTATGAAGCACAGTTCTACTGTGACACACATGGTGTCACCATGAGTTGGAATTTACTCAATATATTACACATTCATAATTTTCCACTATTGATTATGTTTCTAGAAAAGACAATGGTGAGTAAATGATATACACATATAAGGTCTGTGTTACCAGAATGGCTAACGTTCCCCTTTACTAATAAGATACAGATGCATATTCTACTTGTGTCATATTTTAACTACCAGCAAATAATTTTTGTTAGAAATTGCTTAACTATGCCAAGTTCAGGTTCTCACTTTACTGAAGTACTAAAATATTTCAGAGCATCCTCTAGAGAGAGAGATCTCCATAGGTAAACAATGTATGTAGTGATGGGTGTGGATTTTAAAACCACATGTACACTTAACAGTTTCTTAAAACCATTATTGGCCTTTATACACAAAATAAGTGTCCATTTCGATTTTGCCAACTGTACCTTCATACATACGGCCACTCTATGAATGTAAAAATCCCTCAATAAAGGATTTTATTTTTTCTTTTAGCCAGACTCACTGATTTGAAAATGAAACTGACTAAAAATCCTTGTTGTTGTTGTTGTTGTTGTTTGCCATCGAGTCAGCCCCGACTCATAGCGACCCCTCCTTGGGTTTCCGAGGCAGTATCACTA